AAAATACCAAATAATGGGGCCAAACAGGGGGCTTAATATCATTCTCCTTCCTTTTTCAAAAGATATGTTTAGAAATAAACATATTGTTAAATTTTTAAGGTGCAATCTGTACATGTTTGGCTAAGGTTAAAAAATTTAATTACAAGTGAATAAGTAAGTTTAAAAATTTAAACTCTTTTAATGGTAGAAGTTGAAAATAAGTAATTTTTTTTATTTATTTATAAAGTAAAAGGAAATAACATATAGACCTTAAATGGATAGATAAGTTGAAAAGAATGACTTGAAGAAAATCTCAAATAAAGAGAAAATATAAAGACCTCTTTTAAATAAAGACTTGAAGGTGCAACCACTTTTTAAGCAAGTAAAATGACAATTTAATAACTAAAATAATTTTAGTTTGTAGTTTCAATCTCAAACCTTTGAGAGATTTTAGCAATTAATCTACCCTTGGATTGCATTAATATAAACTTGTTTTGGTTAATAGGTAATATTATTCAAAACCAAGTTCTAAAGATATAGGCATGAGTTGATTAAATTTGTTAGAAGTTATAATATATTTAACCATACAAATCGCTCTCTTGTGCCGGATCACCATTCTCTTTAGCTTCGGCCATTTCTCCAATAAAAGCTTAATCTGCGCCGGTAATGGATAGTACATTCACTTCCTGAAGTTGATTTAAAAGTACATCTGAGTAGTCTCGTACTTTTAGAAAGTCTAATACAGGGCTTGCATCAGTATTTTCCCGACTCATAGACTACGGAATACGACGAAAAATCAGTTAGCTTAAATTTTTAGTTTATCAGGAAATAGAAGAATGTAGATTGAAATAACTATGTCCATTACTTACCGTGATTTTCATTTTCTCAAGGTTGGGGGAGCTTCTGATCAAGCAAAGAACACACGAGATTTCATCCACTCAATCTAAACATATACTGAGTAACTTGAGAATTTTAAGGTGGATTAAAGAAGTTGGAAGCATTGTTTGAACTTGACACCTGCAGACAAAGTCTAGAAAGCAGAAGGAAAAATTATGATCGAACATAGTTAACTCGATGAATTCACGTGATTACATTTATAATAAAAAATACCAGCATAAAATAGAAGTCCATGTACAGTTTATGAAGGGCTGGAAGAGAATCAAAGAACTCAACGAAGTTACAGTTTCCATAGTTAATGTCATCAACTGCATAATGATCGTAAGCAGTAACTGTAACTGCTGCAAGATGCAGGGATCTCTTTATATAAATAGATGAACAGAAACATCGAAGTTGAAAGAGTCTTAGCATAGGAGCATCAATTTCCAAGTCAAATTCAATTGGGAAATCCAGCAACAATTGCTCCAGTAACGGGCAGCTGGATATCAAACTTTTTAGTACTTCAGCATCAATGTTGACGTTACACAATTCCAGCCTGATCAGTCTATTAAATCCTTTGAAGGTTGGAGGAGGATTGATCAAACAAGCAGAAAGTTTTAAATGTTTCAACTGTAAATACATAAATAGTGAAGAAGGAATTTTGTATCCCAGACTGATTTCAAAGATGAATTCTTCAACATCATAATTTGATAAGAAATTAATCACGTGGTCAATATGTGAACAGCCCTCAAGCTCCGGAATAACCAGACTAAACTTAGTTATG